CAGAGAAATTAGTAATAAGCCAAAGAAATTAAAGGCATGGGTTAAGAAAGGGAAAGATAATTAAAGTTAATTTATACAACACCATTCCTTATATCTGTCATTACTTTTCTAACCTTACAAACTGTCCTTGCTTCTACTACATCCATACACGACTTCATATATTGACTTTTGTTCTTTAAATTTATCACCTCTCTCTTTTTCAGGATCTCATTATCTCCATCCAGCCACAGCATTTTCAGCCTTCCCCTTCCTCTTGTTCCATCATATAATCTGTCTAACATAGGCTGCAAATCATTTGAGTTCTCAAAGAACAATACAACATCATTGGTATACAAAAGTACATCCATGTCCCCAATCAACCCACTTCTGACATCACCACAAGGATTCTTTATACATTTATCTATAAAAACATTAAACAACCAAGATGTCATCGCACAACTTTACTTCTTGCTGTATATTGAACCATTCACTAAACCTTCCAGTTATTCACATGCATACTCCTTTTATCACATTCAGCAACCAAATTTTAACTTCTTATTTGAGTAAAATATTCCATAATTCAAGCCTGTTCACTTTATCATAAGCTTTACAATTTCTCAGTGACCTGTTGAAGAACAAAATTTTTGTTTGCACATTTAGTGCCCAGCATAAATTCACACTGCTCTTCCAAAATATTGTTGATTGTCATGTTGTGTTCCTTTTCAGTCAGAACTTTGCTGAGCACCTTCCCAGAAAAACTTAACAAATTAATTTTTGCATTTCTTCTTGCTACCTTTCCCCTTATATTGGGGAACAGTAGTGACATTCTTCCAATCAGACACAGATACAGTTTTTTCACATGTACTAAACAAGTTGCACAGCCACTCCATAAATAAATGAGATCCATATTCTAACACTGGTTCCATTACACCATGTATATCTTCAGCATCCTCATAGCATTTATAACTTTTCTTTTTTTGCATAGTAACATTTATAGTTTGTTTCATTTTCACTCTTTGGTATATCACAGTCATTCCCATACAGATTTCTAAGATAATTCTAGCATTCCCTCACTTCAGTTTCATCCCAAATCATTTCATCACTGGTATTTTTAATTCTGTTCATTCTGTTGAAGGATCCTTGTTTATCTCTCTTCATTTTCATTGTTCCTTGAGTCCTCTGACTACATTCTTTGCAATTATGTTTTTCACTCTATACATATTATAAAATATATTTCTTTCATCCTCATCTTTACACCACTCACTTATGTGCATTATTCTCCTTTACCGCCCTTTTTACTTCATCATTTCATCAAGCATCCTTTTTCATACTTTCAATTAATGCAATTTCACACATTTCCAATGCACTCCATAATACAATTCTTTTTGCTCTGCTCCACACAGCTTCCTCTTTCCTTACATCCACTTTCCATTCATTCTGCTGGGAGCATATCTGTCTTAAAATACGTTTTCATAAAGAACTCATAGTTTCTTTTCCTGAAGTTGTTCCATTTTCAGTCTAGTTTCTTTCATTTCTTTCTGCCAGGTCCATATTTTGATGAGATCTCCTCTTGACATTATCAAAAAATTGTCTTTCCTGCATTCAGAACTTCATACCACCCTTGTATCTTTCACTAATTCTCTCAGTATTTCCTCATAAGCAAAGAAATCAATTATACTGTACATTAATTCCATATATATGGTTTATCCTTAAACCACATATTCAAAAGCAAACAACAAACCCCCAGAACTTTTTCTAAACATTATGGACAAAGAAATCATTGTTCTCATTTCTTCAGGCCACAAAATCCATATGGCACATTTGGGTCTGAATAGCCATATCTCTTTTTTCTGTACTTTCTCCTCTCATTTCCACACATCCATTCATGTAACTTAACAAAATATTTTTTCCTCTGGGTAGCATTCAGAACAGTTTTTCTTGAAACTCAATCTGTAGTTTTTCCATTTTTACCATTCACTAGCTCAACTATCATCAACCTGTGGATTCCTACTTTTATAGACACTCATAGCAACCTAGGTGACATATTTTAGCCCTTTCATTCTTTATTAAACCTACACTTTTACTTCCCCACATATATTCATCAGCTCTATTCTACAAGATCAGATCACCTTAATTTAAATCTATAACTTTCTCCCCTTTTACAGTGTGGAGGGTTAATGTCATGTATGATAATTTGTACATGGCATAAATATGAGGAAAAACACAGAAATAAAAAGGAGCAGGCAAACTGAAACTGCTTGATGACCCTGGAGGGAGAAGAAACAAATAATAGAAACCAGACTGTTGTTTTTCCTTTGGCTTAAAGGGAGGTAGTATATGGGCACAATAAATGCCATTGTTTATGGTACAAAGTGTTAGTATCTGTAATTAGGGCGGGTATAAAGTCCCACTAGCAGAATGTAGAGGTGCTTGGATAGTCCAAGTAAGGTCATCCCATAGTATTATCAGTTACTACATCTGATTGTAAAGGTCACAGTACGATTTACACTGTTTTCTTTATTATTTCTATGTAACGTTTCAGACAGCATATAACCTGTAACCTTGTTTAGTTTTGGACTATTTTGCATTCATTTGGCCAGGAACCTAGTGATCATTGTAGTTGTGCATGCCAATAAATAATATTTTGTTTCATCTGTCTCCAATCACTTGGTTCCTTATTTAAGTGGGCATTTTTCCCACAACAGCCTGGCATAGTCAGCAGGATTGGAAAGTTAAGAGCTGGGGCAGTCTGCCGCATTCAGAGCGACCCTGTTGTCTTCCCAGATTCGCGGTCCCTGCCTGTGCCCATCGTCCTCTCTGATCCAGAACCAGTTTGGAGACAGTTGGAGTGAGTGTTAGGCTGCAGGGAAGTGTTTTAGGAACTCTGCATGACCGAGTCTGGGGACTCTCTAGGAGCAAGTCTGGGTGAATCACCAGACACACAGATGTTGATTTCCCTTACTTTCATCTCATTGTTAATTCTCTTTCACATTTATTCCTCTTACATTGCAATCTGCAGTCTTCTACTGTATATGCTGTGGTCTTCAGCAGGTGGGCCAGTAGATATTGATCTCCCCTTCCCATCATAGCCTTGGTCAATTGAGGCTTTCATGTAATGCTTTTTAGAAAGATATATAATATGTAGACTAGGTTATCTATCCCACATGGATATGTTATGGCACATTGTGGTCAATATATGCCACAAGTGTAGCAGCCTAGGTTTACCCAATCTTGCTCACACTATTCTTTGTGAGGTAGGATCTCTACAGTAGAGACTAACTTGCAAGCCAAAATACTGTTGCTGCAGTGGTATGTGGGAATGACCTTAGGAGACAGGAGGGAGAGCTGCAGACAGGACAACCAGCATGTAAAAGATATCTTCACCCACAGAAGGGAGGATGGTGTGGGAAATGTTTCAGAAGGGACCCCCCAGTTTTCCAGAAAGTTAAAGGAAAGGAGGCGAGAAATACTTTCAGTCTTGCAAGATTCTGTTAATGTAACCGAACAATAAAGATAGAACTCGTGCTCCTGGATGTGCTTCTTGTCTAGACTTTCTTGCAGTGATGATGGTTGCCCACATCCCACCACCAAGAAAATATGCAATATACTGACATACTCAAGATTTAAGAAGGTCATTATAACAGGGTATTTCTATGAGTTACAGAAATCAAAATTACAGGCAAGCCAAAAGTATTGGTACTCCTTCACTTTTCCCCAAAGAATCCCAATTTGCCATGAAATGAGTTGAAACTGACACAAGTCATACATCAAAGGCCAAGTGTCTGCTCTATGACTATGGAATAAAGAATGGTGGATGCCATTTACTTGTGTCAGTTTCAACTTGTTTCACAGCAAATTGGGATCCTTTGGGAAAAACTGGAGGGGTACCAATACTTTTGGCTGTGTCTGTAAACACAGAGTTTAATGGATAGATTAATTGATTAATTTTTTAAACTTATAATGTAATTAATAATTCAAAATTAGCTTTTGAAGATGACAATAAAAAACATACATTGTTTCTTTGCCCATTTCTTGTGTGCCTATTTCAGTTTCTGATGTGTTACTAGAGTAGAAGATAAAATACTTCTGATTAGGAAAGTTTGGTATATGGTATTTATAGATTGCACCACTTTTTCAGAATACCAAAAGGACCTATATCCAGTTGATAACATTTATTTCATTTAATTGTTTAATAGTCACATCAACAGAAATGTTTAACTTCACCAACAATTTATTCAGACAGTATAATATGTTGCTTGTTCAAAGAATGATAATAGGTTTTAGAAGTGTAAACTCCTTGGCTTTATTGACATTGGTTAATAATATCAAGCAGTTTCTCAGATCAGTATCAGTTCATTTCTGTGGTGCAGACTCCTGTCCAGGTCTGGAAGCCCCAATTCTTTTCTGTTTTAGTCCAAATTACTTTTCCCCTTCTCCTACCATTGGCTGTTACTGCAGAGCGTCTGTTTCAAAACTCCCAGAAGCCCTAATTAGTTACGAAGATGTTAGTGACATGAATGCTCCTAGCAACAGTTCCTCAGCTCTCCTTGATGAACAATATGTAGGATTTCACTGAATCAAAGCTGGCATATAACGTATTAGGCCATTAGCTGTGTATTTTAATGGCAGCAGTTGTGGACTGTTTTTAACAATCTCAACAGACTTTGCAATTAGATCATTGCCTAAGTGGATTATGCCCAATCATATTTTACAATGGCATGAGAAGGATGGAGAAAACAGCTACATGAAAGTGATTGTGATTTTCAATTACTGCATCAATTGCAGATTCCAACAGCATCTTCTGTTGTAAAAAAAATAGGTACTTCCTTTCCCTAAACGGGAAAATAAAAAGAGAATCCCTTCAGTGGATTGGGAGAGGAATTTATTGAAGATGAACACAGAAAAGTACAATTACTTAACGTGCAAAACGGTGGGGCCAGATCCATGTGTGTGTATGTGTGTGTGTGGGAGTGTAGGTATTAAAGCTAACCTGCATTTGAAATGCTCCTGATTCATATTAGGATTTCTGTCGCTGAGTCATGGCAGACAGAAGACCAGAGAAGTCATGTGACCAAGCATGTGAATCACTCAAACAGCAGGAATACGAAGTGGCGGTGAAGCACTGTACAGAAGCCCTTTTTTCCCTCAGCCAGTACCCTCCCACTCACTTCTCAGAAGCATGTCAGGCTGAAATCGACTGCATCAAAATTGAAAGTCTTCTCTATAGAATCGCTTCTTCTTTACAACTCGTGAGTGTGATGCTTACAACAGAATCAAGTGAAATAGTTTAATTTGGTTGTATAAGCAGGAATTGAATTAAAGCCTTTCTTGACATCACACTCGTATGCTGCTTCTAGCAAACAGTTCTTTGTGGATTAATATGTTTGATCTGCTTGGCTGTATAACTGTAGTGTTGCCAGTCTTGTCTCCTGTGCTTGTAGGTTTCATAAGCATGTGCTTCCTAATATACTGCTTTCTTCCATATGAGATAAAATATAATATTTGAACTTCTAAAGACAGAAAAATGACATTAACAGAGGAAGTTGGAATTGGGGGAAATAAATGAATTAATCACTGGTAGAGTAATTCTTTAAGCAGAGATGATGGGGAAGCAAATCAGCATGGGTATCCAGTGGAAGCATTAGAAGTTACTGGACTGAGGTAATAGATCTGATACCGAGTGAATTTAAACATGATCTGCACTGAATAGCTTTTGAGATTTGGTCTACCCTTAGACTGAAATTTGAAGCAATTATGTAATATGCTTCAGAAAAGTGTGGGAAGATTTTAAGAGTATGAAACTTACTGGACAGCTTTTAAACAAAATTATCATCTTTAAATAGTTATTTAAAATAAGAGACATTTTATAAATTAGTTGCTGACCAGCAGGGATGTAAAACAGCTCTCAAATACCAATTATGTAAGTTTTGTTTGCCCTACTTTTTTTTTTCATCTGTCTTGTGTGGTCTCTGGGTAGAAAGACAAGCTATAGGTTGAATAAATTGGATCTCTGATTTTGATTTGTGACATTCTTGCTATTTCTTTTATTGGTGGTGCCTATAAGTATTCAAATTTAAAAACTGAAAACAGTTTAGAAAAAGATTTTCTTAGGTATTACATTTAAAATGTAAAACTCTTGATGCAGATTTTATGCATCAGTTTTGATGTTAGAATTCTGGCTATACCTAAGTTTGGGCTTTTCCATGTGATGTGTTTGTGCCACTCCCAGATCATCTTTGCCTTCCATTGTTTCCTTGTTGCTGTCTTTTTGGTATCTGAATTCACTCACTTTTGGTTCACCTGCAGTTCCAAGGGAGCTGCTCTGAAGCTCATCTTCAGCTGGAAATCTGAAGAGCTAGAAACTATGCCATTTTCTCATTGAGGGGAACTCTTGCCTTACTTCTGAGTTACAGTTACCCAAGAGGGCTGGTAAAGAAAATGCTGGCCTGACAGCTTCCTATCTTCCTTTCGGCAACCAAGGCAAAGTGAGGTGGCAGGAGATTGACAAGTTGTCATCAGTTTTCCCCTTCTCTTCACATCTGTAAAGAAAGAGGCCGCTTGGACTTTTTTTTTCTTGCTTTGAGTTTGGTTGCTATAGGAGCTGGAGCAGCTTGGGGTCTTATTCTTAATGTTAAAATAATAACAATCTTGGATCATCTTCAAATGATTATGAGGGATTTGAGTTGAGATGATGGAAGTGTAGGAGGAACCATAGTGATAAGACTGTGAGACTCATCAAATCAGTTTGATGAGATATTAGTCAGTTTACATTTTAGTTCTTATAGATTTTGGCAACATATTAATCCACAGTAAATTAATATTTTTTATTATTTTCAGAAATGATACAAAAAGCTGGTTTTTATTTTTGTTTTAGATTCAAATGAAACCTGCAAGAAATATGTGTGAAATGTTCCTATTTACTGTTCCTGTCACTCAATTATACCCTCCTTGGAACTCCAGTCTGTCCCCTCAGTTAATGTCATTTTATGGTCACTCAGCATGCTTAATCCTCATGGACTATTTTACGATGCCCCTCCCCCCTTTTTCTTAAAACTCTTACATACTTCTATAAATCTTGGTGTTTTCCCAAACCTGCTGATACCCACTTCTTGTGTGTGCCTGGTGCCATTTTAGCTATATTAGGTTGCATGTTTGAAGAATGAGTTTGTATGAGTAAATTTGATCTTCAGTTTAACAATCAGCAATACTCCAGTGCATTATATGTATATAATGTTCTCCTGAAACCACTGAAGCTTTTGTACTCTTAACACTTGACTATATTTATGTTTATAGGCTATGAAACTCTGAATAAATAAAAATGTCTGATGAAATTAATTTAAAAGCACAGATCTATTGGTTATAATTTTATGGCTAACCATTATTTTTTCTTTTTTACAGAAAAACTATGGAAAGGCAGATGAAGACTGTAGGCATGGTATGAATATTAAATTGTTTCTTACAGTTTCTAAACATTAAGAAATGATTTTGCACTTAATTTGCTAGTGAAATAGAATTGTCCAATTGTGGCTCTCGTCTGAGATGCTTGTTTGGATTACAGTTCTGCCTTGGACTCAAATTCTTTTGTCTGGCCATTGTCTTGGTAGTGGCTCTTCCTCCTGTTCCTCAAGCTTATTCTTTCTACCCATTACAATAAATGGTATTTGCACAGATGGAGGTAATCTATTAGGAATAACTTTGTTAATAGAATGAAATAAAAGTGGAAACTAAATATGAGACTAAATCTGGCAGTTAAAGACTGTTCTTGCTTTAATGTGCTATTTCCTTTACCATTAATCCAAAGAAAATATTATTGTAAAATAATTAATAAGTGATATTATACTCTGTTGGATTGCCCATTTTTTCTAAGATTTATAAAACAGTGCAACTTAACAAATTAATTAGTTTTTGTTATTAGCTGCTAGAAAGGAGACAAATCTGAGATATAATCTGTCTCTGTGTTCAAATCTGTGTTTTTAGACTGGTAAAAAAAGTCTTTGTTTCTTATTTCAGAATCCTATATGTAATTGATATCTGTACTATCTGTTAGTTGCTTATTCAAGAACTGTATTTACACAAGGTAGTCCTTCAGGTATACAGTTTTTCTAAGCTAAAGGCTACACTTGGCCTTTGAGTAGTGTATCTGGACCCACACTCCCTCAAAATGGTGGATGGATAAGTGACATGGGCTCTGTTTCTGGAACTGAGAATTGGGGAAGGTCAGATTGAGAGATGAATAGACTAGCTGTTGTTTTTGAGAGGAAGAATGTTGATACATGGAAGGAAGACTGGAGCCGTGGAGCCATTTGGAGGCAGAGAGCTCAGAACAGAGGCCAGGCCGTGGCTTCAGCTTGGATGTCTGCAGTGAGAGGAAAGAGCGTGTGGATAACACATGTATTTCAGCACATTCTTTACATTCATTTAGTTGTTAATTCTCTCTTCCTCTTATGCCCTTACATGTACATACATGCTGCAATTAGGCCTGGAAAAAGTCTTCTATTAGATTCAGTACAAGGTTTCCCTTTGAGACTGATTGTAGTGGGAAAAAGAGGTCTAAACTAGTCAGCTTCAAAGGCAACTCTGATAATGTTCCCCTTCCAGCTTTAGAGTTTCAAAAAGTCTCTATTCTCATAATGAACATTAGCAGTCAAGACTGTGCCACAGGCCATATTAAGTGCTGCAGTTGAATTTAAATGCTTATATTTGTTGATAGCACTTGTTCTGAAATGCATAGCTGTGTAACAGTATTTTGATTCTAAATTGGTTATCTTCATTCATTTGAATGAATAATGGATAGTGAACTGTGTGAATGCAGCCATGGACTGAAAAGAAGAACTGATTAATGTAATCCAGGATCCACATCTCCATTGTAAACATTGGGTTTTCATGTTTAACAACTCTTCATATATATCATTAGATTAGCTATGAAAAAGCGTGTGTAAATATTTGTATCACTTCTTTTTTTTTCCTGAAACATGTAACTGGAAAAAACTCAGTGGTCTTCGTGTACTCAGTGGTCAGTAGTGACCTCAGATGCACCATAACATTTGTGGACACCTATTTGTTTGTGGGTAGGTAAATTCATGAGAGTCAGGTAAAGTCAGCTACCATATATATTTCCAAAATATAAGGAGAATTGCCTAAGCAGAATTAAATTGTATATAATTAATAGGATTACAGTACTCTGCAAATTGTATTGCAGATTGTGACTTCTGTTGGCTGAGTGTTGTCTGTATAGTATGGCAAATAATGGTATCTGCTTTTGATTGCAGTATTGGGAGAAGGACTGGACAGGGAAGGGGACACTTTCCGTGCAGTGCTTGGCTGCGTGCATCTTAAAGGGAAGCTACAGGCTGTTTCTAACGCTCTTTCTAACTCACTGATGGGTGAATCACTGGTAAGTGGCATTGATTCTCACTACAGTTATCAGAATAATATACTTTAGATACATGGTAAGACGACTTGTGTCAACCTTCTACTGCTTTGTATTAAAATATTAAAATATTTTCATCTTTATAGATGAAGAGACAGGAACCCCAGTTTCGTCCATGACTTTGAGCTAGCAGGCTGGCAGTTGTTTCATGTGATAAAGGCATGGATTTTAAACACTATCAAGTAATTTTCTCAGTGTGCTGACTAATAGAACAGAGACACATGCTTTTCTGTTTTTATTACTGTATTTTTGTCTTTGAGATCTTGGTGGAAATAGGTTGAGAATTTTTCTTGAGTTTATTATTAGAAAAAAATGACTTAACTATCAATTTGCATTTATTGTGGTCACTAGAGTAGGGAAGCCATGTCAAGGCTGCTTAATCTGACTGATTACTAGGTGCCAGCAAAAACATATAGAGCCTCTGGCCCTTTGCTGCCATCTAGTGGTTGGCCAGAGTTTTGCAGCTGAGATATGATAGATCTAGGCTAGAATATGATTCATTTATAGCATCAATTCCTCACAATTTCTTACCTCACCCCACTCACCTCACCTCACCTCACCTCACCTCACCTCACCTCACCTCACCTCACCTCACCTTGTTACAATAACAACTTTGGAAGATTGGCTTGCTGCAATCTGAAGTGCTAAAATCCAGCATTAACTTATTTTCAAAAATGGTTCTTAACCCCCCTATAGACGTCAGAATCTTCTTATAAAACAAGACTGATCAGTAGTTGAAGCCCACAACTTTGTTCTGAAGGAGGCCAACAAACTAGGGCAATGGCAGGGAATATTTTGGAGTGGCTGGAGGGAATGAGGGGGCTGTTGACTCTTTTCGTTCAATGTGTAAGCTTCCTTTCTTTTGATGTATATGGATTACCTGAGTTCTATTTTTTGGTTTGCTATTTTTCTGGTTCTTTGGGATGTGTGTGTGTGTGTGTTTCTGTGTGTGTCTTTTCCTGAATAGTATTAGTTTGCATTCTGTGCAATTGCGAATATGGGCTTCATACTTTGTCTTGTATGCAGTTTCTTGGCAACATGCCTTTCAATTTGCATCTTTGAATGCAAGCAGAAATATACTTTCTCTTGTGCAGTGTAGTTGATTTCTCTTGATTTGCCCCAAGTTTCTTTTAATCCATTCCAGAGGGTTTCTCAATCTTCCAAAACAACTTTGTATTGAATTGAAGGAGGCAAAAGATATCATAATGGAAGAAAAGATATGAAAGAACTCTTGTCTGAGTGAAGTACTACTTTACTGACTCTAGATTTCTAACTGCAGTTCAGGATTTAAATGAAATTACCTGAGTTCTATTTTATGTATTTTATCTTATTCATTTGGGCCTATTTATATTAAAAACCTAAAGAAGTATATCCAAAGGTGATATTAAGCATGTCTGAATTTCTGCTTATATGGTCAGAATCTTATATTTGAACAGATTATATCAGTTTGTGCATTAGGGATAAGGGAACAAAACATTTGCTAATGGAAAAAACAGATTTAGAACTCATTTTTTCCCCAAAATGTTTAATGGTAAAGTTAATTGCGTTTTATATAATAAAAGAGTTAAACTAATCTTATAATTGAACATAATTGTGGAGAATCTATTGATATCAACAAATATTGCATAATTGTGCTGTTGTGTAATATATTACATAAAAATTAGGTTGCAAGAGAATGCTAAAATGCCACCTGAATTGTAGTCTGTTGGATTGATTGGAAAGTATATTGGTTGTATTGATCCCATTGCTTTTTAGTTAGTTTTCCATTTAAAAAATTACCTGACACTAATCACATTCACACAGACAGAAGCCACTTTGATTATTTCTGAGAGAAGTGACTAGGAATGCATGGGGCAGCAGTAGACCATATTTGTCACTTAGCTGTTTTATAAAGCATTAAGACTATATGAATCATCCAAACTTCAATTCAAGTCATTGATTTGATTCAACAAGTTGATTTCATTTGAACTGTTAATTTAGTAAGTCAAATTGATTCAATTTGGAAAAACATGTATATTCAGCAAAACATGAATCACTAAGTTGATTCAGAAGTATGATTCAGTCATATTACCCTTTAATCAAATTCCTGCTCAGCTCTATTAAGCATGATATATTGGCTGTGCTGATTAAAATTGAAGCCAAAATTTGGCAAGTAATGTTATTATTATGGCTGAAGATCCATCTAGTTCCAGCTGGACTGCATTCGTTTTTGATATCTGGTAATCATAGGTCTCAATGATGGAAGAGCATCATCAGTAAATTATAATTGTGTGGTCTGTCCCCTGAATGTCTGTTATTTTCAGGGTTAGATAATACTGGAAAGGTCATCAAGCAGTGGATTTGACACATAAAGTGATAAAATAACTGAAGACAAACTACAGGGATTTACTGATCTCTTGGGGAAACTCAGAGCATTTTCCCTGCAATGTATTTGTCTTCAGTTGCATATTTGAAATACCTGTGGGCATTTTCTGGAACTTACTTTAATGTCCTCCCTTTGGCATTTTTAGAGGGTAAATAAAATAAATCCCAGTATCTCAGAGATTATGTCCCTGAAACAAAGAAGACCCTAATAAACATATCCTTTAATGCCAGAGGTTTTATGCTGATTCTCAGTTAAGGCTTATCCAGACTTTATTAACCAGTTTTCCAGGTCATACAGATGATTTTTTTATTAGTTGTTAAGGACCAGAGAGCTACTCAGTTGCAAAATATTGCCTTTTTGCACCTAAAACCTGGCATCCTTCAATATCCCTCAGGGAAGCAGATTGCTAATTATATTGCCTGGGATATAGAAGCTGATATTTACTAAATTTATTAATGTTACTATGTTTTTGCTGTTTGTAACATTGTGTTTGTTCTGGTTTAAGATTGTAATAAAATTATGTTGTATTGAATTAGTCATAGATAGATGATCTGGTTTACATCATAATGAGAGTTTGCTTGGTTTAGTATACGTGAATCCAGTAACTCCAGTTTGTCAACTTTTTTTTTCTTGGCCAGTTTTCACAGCACATTCAGTAAAATCAGATTATGGGATAGTATTTTATTGATATAGGCTATAATAACACAATGTTGAAAGCCTGACAGCATTTTCCTTTCCTCTCTCATATACCCCAGAGAGTTAGGATGCAGCCAGAGTTATACATGTTGCTAAAACTGTCTCTGCATAGTTTCTCCGTGGTCATCTCTGTGGCTCTCTATGTTTCATTAGATATTGGAAACAGCTACAGAAAACTTACCTATGATATGTGCCTCTTATGATATGGTAAACTTTGCCAGAAGCTGTTTGCAAGTCTCCTTCCTCCCCTAATACACATCAGAAATCAGGCCTCAGCTCTAGATTAAAAAAAATAAAATAAAAATACAAGTGGATAGTGGCCCAATCTCAGTTAGCACCAACATGCATGGGCTGGAGAAAAGCTGTTTAGTGAGTGATTTCTTAATTTTCGGAGACAGGTTTTCTGAGTGGAGATAAAACAGATTTGGAGCAATAGGCAAATTGCTACAGCATGGTTCTTCTACTTCATGGAGTAGTTTAAGTCTGAAGGGCTGCCAGTAGAGTTAACCATTTGTTTACCTGTTTGTTTGAATGGTACAGAGTCATGGTCAAGACAGATTAATTCGATGCAGGCTTCTGGTTCAAATTTTAGCTAAGGTTCTCTGCCTTAACCAAAATTTTGTCTGTAGTTCATATTTGTATCTGTGCTATACCTTAAGTTTTCTTCAGCAGTAAATGTTCAGATTAGTATGTACTTGTATTAGAAATTGTGGACAATTGCAGAAGGCTTAATCATAGTGCAAACCCTATATGACATGGCAGACCACAGTTGGCAGTGGTTTGCAGGCCTTTGCCCCCTCCTCAGTGAGCATGTAAGTGAATTCATTATGGTGTACTGCATAATAAGCAAAAAGGGACTACAGAAAGCAAAGTTAAGTTGCATAATTTATCCTTGGAATCTTATCCACTAAGATGGCCCATGCAGACTTCCAATCTGAAATATTAATGTAATGTTATTGCTAGTTTTTTAGGTTGCCACTGCAATGTCATGTTTGGAAGAAGCATTTTATCAAGCAAAAGGGGGAGGTAGTTTCAGCAAAATAGAAAAAGTACCCTCTTTAATTGAATTGATGGGTCATATTTCAAACTGTTCTATAGTAATACCAGTATTCAGCCAAATGCTGCGATAAAAATAACATTAAAAATTGTGTGCATCTCTCAGAACTAAATTTACATTAACCATGAAAAAATCTGATACAAAAAATGTTTCAGTTTTTATTTTCATAATAGATGACAAATAAGCAAAATGTGATTATATTCTTTCTTAGCAGAATGGGATGGTAACTAAAGATCTGACAAGGCTGAAAAACCTTCTTGTTGAAACAGAGGTAAGAATATGCCTGTTCCTGAAATAAAGAAATTTTTTTACCAGACAGTTTTGGTCTTCCCAGTTTGAAGGTGACTGCCATAATTTAACTAGCATTTTTAATATCCTCTTTTATCTGTTGTTTGGTAGCAATTATCCACTGTAGCCTATCTTATGTTACACAGTGCAATTATCATTATTAACAGTATTGCTAATTTGGGTTTACATTTTAAATATGTTTAAATATTGCAGAAACAAACCTATATTGGCCTTAGACTCATCTGCTCCCTTCTTTCCTACCTTTGCAGCAATAACGTTATTGGCAACATATATTTTTTGTAAATAAGAGCTCCCTGTAATGTTTTAATTGAGGATTTAAATTATTGTTACTAAATAAGCCAGCATCATAAAATATGATTTAAACATTGCTTGTTGGAAGTAACCATAGTTGAAATTAAAAGGGAGATGCAAGATAAGAAGCTTTAGCTAGTGAAACTTGATTTCTTTCTTGTGGTTGCATTAGCTTTGTTTACAGGTAGTCCTTGGTTTACGACTACAATTGGGACTGGAACTTCTATCACTAAGCAATGCAGTCGTTAAGTGAGTCATGTCCAATTTTATGACCTTTTTTGCCATGGTCATTAAGCAAATCACAGTGGTTGCTAAGCAAATCACATGATAGTTAAGTGAATCCAGCTTCCCCCTTTGTCTTTGCTTGTTGGAAGCTCCCTGGGAAGGTCGCAAATGGCGACCACATGACTCCGGGACGCTGCAACTGTTGTAAATACATGCTGGTTGCCAAGTGCCTGAATTTTGGTCACGTGATCACGGGGATGCTGCAATGATCGTAAGTGTGAGGACCAGTCATAAATCACTTCTTTCAGTGCCTTTGTAACTTCAAACAGTCATTAAATGAATGGTTGTAAGTTGACTACCTGTATATGATGCCAAGGTATAGTTTAGTATTATCCAAAAAGCCTTAAGAAAATGAGTTGCCTTTTCCTGGACATGCTTACTTGGAAGTAAGTTCTAGTGAGTCCAGGGAGTCTTATTCTCAAGTAAGTGTTCATAGATTTACTAGAAGGATGGGATTCATACAGCTGGACTATAATTCTTTAAATTAGACCAAATCTCAGCATCTTGCAAGATTTTATCATTCTTGTCCAAGATCTTACAAAATTTAAAATGGGAATACCATGATCATATGAGATTTGACCCTCTTACACAATTGACCCTCTTACACTTTTGACTGTTTTAATTTTAACTTATTTTTGAGGTCCCACAGATGCCATCTTGGGGAATTATGTATTTGATGGTGCTTGAAAAAACCATATAGCTGGTTCCTAGTTTACATTGATAATGATATAGTAAACTGCTTAAATTTAAATTTTGGGGACCACTGAATTAAGACTAATTCAGCATCAGACTAATTTGGGACATGTTTGATTTGAAGTATGTCTCTTCCAAAGGAGATTTAATTAAAGCCTGCTTTGTTAATAATTGGTATGGAAATGGAGATACAGACAGCCTTCCATTAAATATAAATAAATAAAATTCTTAATGTAACAAAAATGCTTGAATAGTGAGAGGAATAATTGAGGGGAGTATAGGTACTTTTGTGAATAACTTTAACTTCTAGAACAATTTAAGCAGTATCTTTAATCACAAAAATGTATCATAATATTGAAGTATTTAATATTTGCTGATTCTCTCGCAAGAGCAGAAGTGATAAAAAAAAAAGTATGTGAGATTAGAAGACGGTGCAGCATTAGTTGTTTGGTTTAAAAAGAAGATGTACCAGTTCTGTCTTGAGTCATTGTATGCTCTTCCAGAATCCATTTCTGTTTTATAACACTTTTTGTGATTTTGGCTTCAGTTTTGCAAAACAAATACACAAAGCTTTAAACTGTATTTTATTATAATTCCTCAGTTCCTTCAACTATCTTTCTGACATTTTTGAGAAATTTCAGGTTGCTTGCCTAAGGCCACTTCTCTGAAGTATGCCAGAAAAATCATAGCGAGAATACATTATTTTATTCACCCACATTTAAAATTTCCCATTCCACAAAATGCAACACCTATTCTTATAAAATTTCCATGAATCCAAGATAAAACTGCCTGTTACATTGTGTGTCTATTCATTACAACCGTCCACAAAAGTTTTAGGAGAATAAAGCATACTGTATATACATACATACATACATACATACATACATACATACATACATACATATTA